AGGACAACCCACCCTGCTGCACTATGAAGGACAACCCACCCTCACTATGAAGGACAACGTACCCTGCTGCACTATGGAGGACAACCCACCCTCACTATGAAGGACAACCCACCCTGCTACACTATGGAGGACAACCCACCCTGCTGCACTATGAAGGACAACCCACCCTGCTACACTATGAAGGACAACCCACCTTCACTATGGAGGACAACCCACCCTCACTATGGAGGACAACCCACCCTGCTACACTATGAAGGACAACCCACCCTCACTATGAAGGACAACCCACCTTCACTATGGAGGACAACCCACCTGCACTATGAAGGACAACCCACCCTCACTATGAAGGACAACCCACCTTCACTATGGAGGACAACCCACCTTCACTATGGAGGACAACCCACCTGCACTATGAAGGACAACCCACCCTCACTATGAAGGACAACCCACCTTCACTATGGAGGACAACCCACCTGCACTATGAAGGACAACCCACCCTCACTATGAAGGACAACCCACCTTCACTATGGAGGACAACCCACCTTCACTATCGAGGACAACCCACCTGCACTATGAAGGACAACCCACCTTCACTATGAAGGACAACCCACCCTCACTATGAAGGACAACCGACCTTCACTATGGAGGACAACCCACCCTCACTATGAAGGACAACCCACCTTCACTATGGAGGACAACCCACCCTCACTATGAAGGACAACCCACCTTCACTATGAAGGACAACCCACCTTCACTATGGAGGACAACCCACCCTCACTATGAAGGACAACCCACCTTCATTATGGAGGACAACCCACCTTCACTATGGAGGACAACCCAACTTCACTATGGAGGACAACCCACCCTCACTATGAAGGACAACCCACCTTCACTATGAAGGACAACCCACCTTCACTATGGAGGACAACCCACCTTCACTATGAAGGACAACCCACCCTCACTATGAAGGACAACCCACCTTCACTATGGAGGACAACCCACCTTCACTATGGAGGACAATCCACCTTCACTATGAAGGACAACCCACCTTCACTATGAAGGACAACCCACCCTGCTGCAATATGGAGGACAACCCACCCTCACTATGAAGGACAACCCACCTTCACTATGGAGGACAACCCACCTTCACTATGAAGGACAACCCACCTTTACTATGAAGGACAACCCACCCTCACTATGAAGGACAACCCACCCTCACTATGAAGGACAACCCACCTTCACTATGGAGGACAACCCACCCTCACTATGAAGGACAACCCACCCTCACTATGAAGGACAACCCACCTTCACTATGGAGGACAACCCACCCTCACTATGAAGGACAACCCACCCTCACTATGAAGGACAACCCACCTTCACTATGGAGGACAACCCACCTTCACTATGGAGGACAACCCACCCTCACTATGAAGGACAACCCACCTTCACTATGGAGGACAACCCACACTGCTGCACTATGGAGGACAACCCACCCTCACTATGAAGGACAACCCACCTTCACTATGGAGGACAACCCACCCTCACTATGAAGGACAACCCACCTTCACTATGGAGGACAACCCACCCTGCTGCACTATGGAGGACAACCCACCTTCACTATGAAGGACAACCCACCTTCACTATGGAGGACAACCCACCCTGCTACACTATGAAGGACAACCCACCTTCACTATGGAGGACAACCCACCCTCACTATGGAGGACAACCCATCTTCACTATGAAGGAAAACCCACCCTCACTATGAAGGACAACCCACCTTCACTATGGAGGACAACCCACCCTCACTATGAAGGACAACCCACCCTCACTATGAAGGACAACCCACCTTCACTATGTAGGACAACCCACCTTCACTATGGAGGACAACGTAACCTGCTGCACTATGAAGGACAACCCACCCTCACTATGAAGGACAACGTACCCTGCTGCACTATGGAGGACAACCCACCCTCACTATGGAGGACAACGTACCCTGCTGCACTATGAAGGACAACCCACCTTCACTATGGAGGACAACGTACCCTGCTGCACTATGAAGGACAACCCACCCTCACTATGAAGGACAACCCACCTTCACTATGGAGGACAACCCACCCTCACTATGGAGGACAACCCACCTTCACTATGAAGGACAACCCACCCTCACTATGAAGGACAACCCACCTTCACTATGGAGGACAACCCACACTGCTGCACTATGGAGGACAACCCACCCTCACTATGAAGGACAACCCACCTTCACTATGGAGGACAACCCACCCTCACTATGAAGGACAACCCACCTTCACTATGGAGGACAACCCACCCTGCTGCACTATGGAGGACAACCCACCTTCACTATGAAGGACAACCCACCTTCACTATGGAGGACAACCCACCCTGCTACACTATGAAGGACAACCCACCTTCACTATGGAGGACAACCCACCCTCACTATGGAGGACAACCCATCTTCACTATGAAGGAAAACCCACCCTCACTATGAAGGACATCCCACCTTCACTATGGAGGACAACCCACCCTCACTATGAAGGACAACCCACCCTCACTATGAAGGACAACCCACCTTCACTATGTAGGACAACCCACCTTCACTATGGAGGACAACGTAACCTGCTGCACTATGAAGGACAACCCATCCTCACTATGAAGGACAACGTACCCTGCTGCACTATGGAGGACAACCCAACCTCACTATGGAGGACAACGTACCCTGCTGCACTATGAAGGACAACCCACCTTCACTATGTAGGACAACCCACCTTCACTATGGAGGACAACGTAACCTGCTGCACTATGAAGGACAACCCACCCTCACTATGAAGGACAACGTACCCTGCTGCACTATGGAGGACAACCCACCCTCACTATGGAGGACAACCCACCTTCACTATGTAGGACAACCCACCTTCACTATGGAGGACAACGTAACCTGCTGCACTATGAAGGACAACCCACCCTCACTATGAAGGACAACGTACCCTGCTGCACTATGGAGGACAACCCACCCTGCTGCACTATGGAGGACAACGCACCTTCACTATGGAGGACATCGTACCCTGCTGCACTATGGAGGACAACCCACCCTCACTATGGAGGACAACCCACCCTCACTATGAAGGACAACGTACCCTGCTGCACTATGGAGGACAACCCACCTTCACTATGGAGGACAACCCACCCTGCTGCACTATGGAGGACAACCCACCCTCACTATGAAGGACAACCCATCCTCACTATGAAGGACAACCCACCCTGCTGCACTATGGAGGACAACCCACCTTCACTATGAAGGACAACCCACCTTCACTATGGAGGACAACCCACCCTGCTACACTATGAAGGACAACCCACCTTCACTATGGAGGACAACCCACCCTCACTATGGAGGACAACCCATCTTCACTATGAAGGAAAACCCACCCTCACTATGAAGGACATCCCACCTTCACTATGGAGGACAACCCACCCTCACTATGAAGGACAACCCACCCTCACTATGAAGGACAACCCACCTTCACTATGTAGGACAACCCACCTTCACTATGGAGGACAACGTAACCTGCTGCACTATGAAGGACAACCCACCCTCACTATGAAGGACAACGTACCCTGCTGCACTATGGAGGACAACCCACCCTCACTATGGAGGACAACGTACCCTGCTGCACTATGAAGGACAACCCACCTTCACTATGGAGGACAACGTACCCTGCTGCACTATGAAGGACAACCCACCCTCACTATGAAGGACAACGTACCCTGCTACACTATGGAGGACAACCCACCCTGCTGCACTATGGAGGACAACGCACCTTCACTATGGAGGACATCGTACCCTGCTGCACTATGGAGGACAACCCACCCTCACTATGGAGGACAACCCACCCTCACTATGAAGGACAACGTACCCTGCTGCACTATGGAGGACAACCCACCTTCACTATGGAGGACAACCCACCCTGCTGCACTATGGAGGACAACCCACCCTCACTATGAAGGACAACCCATCCTCACTATGAAGGACAACCCACCCTGCTGCACTATGAAGGACAACCCACACTGCTGCACTATGGAGGACAACCCACCCTCACTATGAAGGACAACGTACCCTGCTGCACTATGGAGGACAACCCACCCTCACTATGGTGGACAACCCACACTGCTGCACTATGGAGGACAACCCACCCTCACTATGAAGGACAACCCACCCTGCTGCACTATGGAGGACAACGCACCTTCACTATGGAGGACAACCCACCCTGCTGCACTATGGAGGACAACGCACCTTCACTATGGAGGACATCGTACCCTGCTGCACTATGGAGGACAACCCACCCTCACTATGGAGGACAACCCACACTGCTGCACTATGGAGGACAACCCACCCTGCTACACTATGGAGGACAACCCACCCTGCTGCACTATGGAGGACAACCCACCCTGCTGCACTATGAAGGACAACCCACACTGCTGCACTATGGAGGACAACCCACCCTCACTATGAAGGACAATGTACCCTGCTGCACTATGGAGGACAACCCACCCTCACTATGGAGGACAACCCACACTGCTGCACTATGGAGGACAACCCACCCTCACTATGAAGGACAACCCACCCTGCTGCACTATGGAGGACAACGCACCTTCACTATGGAGGACAACCCACCCTGCTGCACTATGGAGGACAACGCACCTTCACTATGGAGGACATCGTACCCTGCTGCACTATGGAGGACAACCCACCCTCACTATGGAGGACAACCCACACTGCTGCACTATGGAGGACAACCCACCCTGCTACACTATGGAGGACAACCCACCCTGCTGCACTATGGAGGACAACCCACACTGCTACACTATGGAGGACAACCCACACTGCTGCACTATGGAGGACAACCCACCCTGCTGCACTATGGAGGACAACCCACACTGCTGCACTATGGAGGACAACCCACCTTCACTATGGAGGACAACCCACCCTGCTGCACTATGGAGGACAACCCACCCTCACTATGAAGGACAACCCATCCTCACTATGAAGGACAACCCACCCTGCTGCACTATGGAGGACAACCCACACTGCTGCACTATGGAGGACAACCCACCCTCACTATGAAGGACAACCCACCCTCGCTATGAAGGACAACCCACCTTCACTATGGAGGACAACCCACCCTCACTATGGAGGACAACCCACACTGCTGCACTATGAAGGACAACCCACACTGCTGCACTATGAAGGACAACCCACCTTCACTATGAAGGACAACCCAACCTCACTATGGAGGACAACCCACACTGCTGCACTATGGAGGACAACCCACCCTCACTATGAAGGACAACGTACCCTGCTGCACTATGGAGGACAACCCACCCTCACTCTGAAGGACAACGTACCCTGCTGCACTATGGAGGACAACCCACCCTCACTATGAAGGACAACGTACCCTGCTGCACTATGGAGGACAACCCACCCTCACTATGAAGGACAACCCACACTGCTGCACTATGGAGGACAACCCACACTGCTGCACTATGAAGGACAACCCACCTTCACTATGAAGGACAACCCACCCTCACTATGGAGGACAACCCACACTGCTGCACTATGGAGGACAACCCACCCTCACTATGAACGACAACGTACCCTGCTGCACTATGGAGGACAACCCACCCTCACTATGAAGGACATCGTACCCTACTGCACTATGGAGGACAACCCACCCTCACTATGAAGGACAACGTACCCTGCTGCACTATGGAGGACAACCCACCCTGCTGCACTATGGAGGACAACCCACCCTCACTATGAAGGACAACGTACCCTGCTGCACTATGGAGGACAACCCACCCTGCTGCACTATGGAGGACAACCCACCCTCACTATGGAGGACAACCCACCTTCACTATGGAGGACATCCCACCCTGCTGCACTATGGAGGACAACCCACACTGCTGCACTATGGAGGACAACCCACACTGCTGCACTATGGAGGACAACCCACCCTCACTATGGAGGACAACCCACCCTGCTACACTATGGAGGACAACCCACCCTCACTATGGAGGACAACCCACCCTGCTGCACTATGGAGGACAACCCACACTGCTGCACTATGGAGGACAACCCACACTGCTGCACTATGGAGGACAACCCACCCTCACTATGGAGGACAACCCACCCTGCTACACTATGGAGGACAACCCACCCTCACTATGGAGGAGAACCCACCCTGCTGCACTATGGAGGACAACCCACACTGCTGCACTATGGAGGACAACCCACCCTCACTATGAAGGACAACCCACCCTGCTGCACTATGGAGGACAACGCACCTTCACTATGGAGGACATCGTACCCTGCTGCACTATGGAGGACAACCCACCCTCACTATGGAGGACAACCCACACTGCTACACTATGGAGGACAACCCACCCTCACTATGGAGGACAACCCACACTGCTGCACTATGGAGGACAACCCACCCTCACTATGAAGGACAACCCACCCTGCTGCACTATGAAGGACAACGCACCTTCACTATGGAGGACATCGTACCCTGCTGCACTATGGAGGACAACCCACCCTCACTATGGAGGACAACGTACCCTGCTGCACTATGGAGGACAACCCACCCTGCTGCACTATGGAGGACAACCCACCCTTACTATGAAGGACAACCCACACTGCTGCACTATGGAGGACAACGCACCTTCACTATGGAGGACATCGTACCCTGCTGCACTATGGAGGACAATCCACCCTCACTATGGAGGACAACCCACACTGCTACACTATGGAGGACAACCCACCTTCACTATGGAGGACAACCCACCCTCAATATGGAGGACAACCCACACTGCTGCACTATGGAGGACAACCCACCCTGCTGCACTATGGAGGACAATGTACCCTGCTGCACTATGGAGGACAACCCACCCTGCTGCACTATGGAGGACAACCCACCCTCACTATGAAGGACAACGTACCCTGCTGCACTATGGAGGACAACCCACCCTCACTATGGAGGACAACCCACACTGCTGCACTATGGAGGACAACCCACCCTCACTATGGAGGACAACCCACACTGCTGCACTATGGAGGACAACCCACCCTGCTGCACTATGGAGGACAACCCACCTTCACTATGGAGGACAACCCACCCGCATTTTGTAGGACAACCCACTCTAACTACAGAGCACAATCCATCCTCACTACGGAGGACAACCGACCATCACTTTGAAAGAGAACTGACCTTTTTGCTGGGCCTGGCTGCATCTTGCTGCCTGGCGGAGGCCCCTCAACCTGTGGAGGAACACACCAACATAAGTCACATGAAGCACAGTGCTGTGTTATGGTTTTACAGACTTTCAGAGAGACCCTTAATTACGTACAGCTGAAAATCCGAGTAACTCTCCATTCCTTCAAAATAATTGAGCAGAGGTCCACGCAGGAATGGAGAGTTACGAGGATATTCCCCTACTTTAAACTCATCCGTATACTATTACACTTTGATAAAATATTCTCCTGTGGAAAATATTTGAAAAATCAACCAGAACTCTTTGTAGTCTGTATTTATACTGCGTGAGTCGCCCTTGCGTGATGCACGAGGAACGTGTTCTCTGATGCTGTTGCAGGTGCACTAAGCTCCATCTCGAGCTGATATTTACAATGCATGGTACACAGCTCTTCATAATGTCGTGGGGTCCTAAACTGTATTATAAATACATGCTGAAGGGAATCATAGGAAACATAGAGCCCCGAACAAGTATATCTATGTTTACCTGATTTGTTTTTTCTCTTGTCAAAGGTTTATCTTATTGCTTTAAATATGAAATATTGATAACCAGCTGTAACACAACATTATATTCATATGCCTATTACTTTTTACCTTTTAAGCATTATGTAAAATTATGAACATGTTTAATAGCTAATTTCACACCATACCTTCATGTGTCGCCATAGCTGAGGTAACAATCACACATCCTCAAATCAAGCAATGCGGGTTTGAACCCAGATGGCGACATATTTTCCAACAAAATTTTAACTATTCAATTGTCAAAATATTTTTAAAATAGTCCTGTCAAATCCAACTGCAAATTAATTGAAATGTTGGTTCAAGATAATATATATAACCAATAGAATGATGTCACAGATGTGTTTTAATTCCCTGGACCAACCATGACCTACATTAATTGTGTTGATGTGGTAGTTATGTCTCAAGTAGGATACATGTCAATATACCTCTTTTTTTCACTTCATGCTGAATTTGGTCGTACTTTGCAATATATTGAAGGTCAATTACAGCCTGTGATATTTAAACTGACCAAAGTTCCACTAAAATCTTTTTTGAAGCTTTAGTTCTCTTATCATGCTATTTGCATAAACATACTTTTCTGGTTCTAACAAACTTTAATATACAGTGAACTCCATAAAGGATATATCTATTTAGAGAAGGATTGGTGGCTCAGGACTGTTAACCAGCAAATGGTTTTGTATATGTCAATAGGGAAACAGTGTTGTTTGGTTACTATAGGAGAAAGATTTGTCAAGGTTACACCCTGAGAAATGACCTCAAGCTTGTTTGTAGAGGGTTCATGTTTTTCCTCAGTTTCCCTGCCCTCAACCTGTCTGTGTTTCTAAACATGTGTCAGTATCCCTGTCCTCTAGCTGGCTGTGTTTCCTAAACATGCGTCAGTTTCCCTGTCCTCAAGCTGTCTGTGTTTCCTAAACATGCGTCAGATTCCCTGCCCTCAAGCTGGCTGTGTTTCCTAAACATGTGTCAGTATCCCTGTCTTCAAGCTGTCTGTGTTTCCTAAACATGCGTCAGTATCCCTGTCCTCAAGCTGTCTGTGTTTCCTAAACATGCATCAGTATCCCTGTCCTCAAGCTGTCTGTGTTTCCTAAACATGTGTCAGTTTCCCTGCCCTCAAGCTGGCTGTGTTTCCTAAACATGCGTTAGTTTCCCTGTCCCCTAGCTGGCTGTGTTTCCTAACCATGTGTCAGATTCCCTGCCCTCAAGCTGGCTGTGTTTCCTAAACATGCGTCAGTTTCCCTGCCCTCAGGTTGGCTGTGTTTCCTAAACATGTGTCAGTTTCCCCGCCCTCAAGCTGGCTGTGTTTCCTAAACATGCGTCAGTTTCCCTGCCCTCAAGCTGGCTGTGTTTCCTAAACATGTGTCAGTTTCCCTGCCCTCAAGCTGGGTGTGTTTCCTAAACATGCGTCAGTTTCCCTGTCCCCTAGCTTGCTGTGTTTCCTAAATATGCGTCAGTTTCCCTGCCCTCAAGCTGTCTGTGTTTCCTAAACATGTGTCAGTTTCCCTGCCCTCAAGCTGTCGGTGTTTCTAAACATGGGTCAGTTTCCCTGCCCTCAACCTGTCTGTGTTTCTAAACATGCGTCAGTTTTCCTGTCCCCTAGCTGGCTGTGTTTCCTATACATGTGTCAGGTTCCCTGATCTCAAGCTGGCTGTGTTTCCTAAACATCCGTCAGTTTCCCTGTCCCCTAGCTGGCTGTGTTTCCTAAACATCCGTCAGTTTCCCTGTCCCCTAGCTGGCTGCGTTTCCTAAACATGCGTCAGTTTCCCTGATCTCAAGCTGGCTGTGTTTCCTAAACATGCGTCAGTTTCCCTGCCCTCAAGCTGTCTGTTTTCTAAACATGCGTCAGTTTCCCTGCCCTCAAGCTGGCTGGGTTTCCTAAACATGCGTCAGTTTCCCTGCCCTCAAGCTGCCTGTTTTCTAAACATGTGTCAGTTTCCCTGCCCTCTAGCTGGCTGTGTTTCCCAAACATGCGTCAGTTTCCCTGTCCCCTAGCTGTCTATGTCTCCTAAACATGTGTCAGTTTCCCTGCCCTCAAGCTGGCTGGGTTTCCTAAACATGTGTCAGTTTCCCTGTCCCCTAGCTGGCTGTGTTTCCTAAAAATGCGTCAGTTTCCCTGCCCTCAAGCTGGCTGTGTTTCCTAAACATGCGTCAGTTTCCCTGTCCTCTAGCTGTCTGTGTTTCCTAAACATGCGTTAGTTTCCCTGCCCTCAAGTTGTCTGTGTTTCCTAAACATACGTCAGTTTCCCTGTCCTCAAGCTGGCTGTGTTTTCTAAACATGCGTCAGTTTCCCTGCCCTCAAGCTGGCTGTGTCTCCTAAACATGCGTCAGTTTCACTGTCCTCAAGCTGGCTGTGTTTTCTAAACATGCGTCAGTTTCACTGTCCTCAAGCTGGCTGTGTTTTCTAAACATGCGTCAGTTTCCCTGCCCTCAAGCTGGCTGTGTTTCCTAAACATGCGTCAGTTTCACTGTCCTCAAGCTGGCTGTGTTTTCTAAACATGCGTTAGTTTCCCTGCCCTCAAGCTGGCTGTGTCTCCTAAACATGCGTCAGTTTCCCTGTCCTCAAGCTGGCTGTGTTTTCTAAACATGTGTTAGTTTCCCTGCCCTCAAGCTGGCTGTGTCTCCTAAACATGCGTCAGTTTCACTGTCCTCTAGCTGGCTGTGTTTTCTAAACATGCTTTAGTTTCCCTGCCCTCAAGCTGGCTGTGTTTTCTAAACATGCGTCAGTTTCACTGTCCTCAAGCTGGCTGTGTTTTCTAAACATGCGTCAGTTTCACTGTCCTCAAGCTGGCTGTGTTTTCTAAACATGCATCAGTTTCCCTGCCCTCAAGCTGGCTGTGTTTCCTAAACATGCGTCAGTTTCACTGTCCTCAGGCTGTCTGTGTTTTCTAAACATGCGTCAGTTTCCCTGTCCTCAAGCTGGCTGTGTTTTCTAAACATGCGTTAGTTTCACTGTCCTCAAGCTGGCTGTGTTTTCTAAACATGCGTCAGTTTCACTGTCCTCAAGCTGGCTGTGTTTTCTAAACATGCGTCAGTTTCCCTGCCCTCAAGCTGGCTGTGTTTCCTAAACATGCGTCAGTTTCCCTGCCCTCTAGCTGGCTGTGTTTCCTAAACATGCGTCAGTTTCCCTGCCCTCAAGCTGGCTGTGTTTTCTAAACATGCGTTAGTTTCCCTGCCCTCAAGCTGGCTGTGTCTCCTAAACATGCGTCAGTTTCCCTGTCCTCAAGCTGGCTGGGTTTCCTAAACATGTGTCAGTTTCCCTGTCCCCTAGCTGGCTGTGTTTCCTAAAAATGCGTCAGTTTCCCTGCCCTCAAGCTGGCTGTGTTTCCTAAACATGCGTCAGTTTCCCTGTCCTCTAGCTGTCTGTGTTTCCTAAACATGCGTTAGTTTCCCTGCCCTCAAGTTGTCTGTGTTTCCTAAACATGCGTCAGTTTCCCTGTCCTCAAGCTGGCTGTGTTTTCTAAACATGCGTCAGTTTCCCTGCCCTCAAGCTGGCTGTGTCTCCTAAACATGCGTCAGTTTCACTGTCCTCAAGCTGGCTGTGTTTTCTAAACATGCGTCAGTTTCACTGTCCTCAAGCTGGCTGTGTTTTCTAAACATGCGTCAGTTTCCCTGCCCTCAAGCTGGCTGTGTTTCCTAAACATGCGTCAGTTTCACTGTCCTCAAGCTGGCTGTGTTTTCTAAACATGCGTTAGTTTCCCTGCCCTCAAGCTGGCTGTGTCTCCTAAACATGCGTCAGTTTCCCTGTCCTCAAGCTGGCTGTGTTTTCTAAACATGTGTTAGTTTCCCTGCCCTCAAGCTGGCTGTGTCTCCTAAACATGCGTCAGTTTCACTGTCCTCTAGCTGGCTGTGTTTTCTAAACATGCGTTAGTTTCCCTGCCCTCAAGCTGGCTGTGTTTTCTAAACATGCGTCAGTTTCCCTGCCCTCAAGCTGGCTGTGTTTCCTAAACATGCGTCAGTTTCCCTGTCCTCTAGCTGTCTGTGTTTCCTAAACATGCGTTAGTTTCCCTGCCCTCAAGTTGTCTGTGTTTCCTAAACATACGTCAGTTTCCCTGTCCTCAAGCTGGCTGTGTTTTCTAAACATGCGTCAGTTTCCCTGCCCTCAAGCTGGCTGTGTCTCCTAAACATGCGTCAGTTTCACTGTCCTCAAGCTGGCTGTGTTTTCTAAACATGCGTCAGTTTCACTGTCCTCAAGCTGGCTGTGTTTTCTAAACATGCGTCAGTTTCCCTGCCCTCAAGCTGGCTGTGTTTCCTAAACATGCGTCAGTTTCACTGTCCTCAAGCTGGCTGTGTTTTCTAAACATGCGTTAGTTTCCCTGCCCTCAAGCTGGCTGTGTCTCCTAAACATGCGTCAGTTTCACTGTCCTCAAGCTGGCTGTGTTTTCTAAACATGTGTTAGTTTCCCTGCCCTCAAGCTGGCTGTGTCTCCTAAACATGCGTCAGTTTCACTGTCCTCTAGCTGGCTGTGTTTTCTAAACATGCTTTAGTTTCC